ATTCAGGTCTTCAGCCCTTACAGAAGATCAAAATGGTGGAAGCCCATCTCATCTCAGGGACATAAGATGTTTCAAAAAGCAGGATCCATGGCAGAAAAGACTTTTCTCCTGGACCCTGGCAGCCAAATTTTCCTGACAAGGCCTGCAGCATGCCCTCTCTGCTGGTGTGGGTGGGACAGGCCGGTGCCATTGGGGTGTTGTTAATTGCAAAGTCTTCCAACCCATCGTGACCTCATGGACAATATTTCCCCAGGCCTTCCTGACCTCTACCATCCTCTAGTAAACCATTTAAGCTCACGTCTACTGCTTCGGTGACTCCATCCAACCACCTCATTCTCTGTCGTCTCATTTTCTGTCACCATTGGGGTAAGACAGTTTCTTTCACCTCTACCACTAGAAAACTGCAATGTGATTTTTCTAAATATTTTCTTTCCTTTCTTCCAGAAATGCAGTATGGTCATAAATGGTTTACTATGCACTTCAGACTGATTAGGTAATTCAGCTTTTATATGCAAAACTTTTCATTTTATGGATATTACATTAGATTGAATTACATATCAAGCAATTGCATATCAAACAGGAATTAAGATTCCCCCAAGTGCTTTGTGTTGACTATTTCATTTTGACCTGTAGTTTGAATACACAAAACAAAATTAATCAATTAATTGTGGTTGCTGCTGTTATAATTAGTATTACTGCTACAAGTACTACTTCTACCACTACCACTGCACAATGATTTGGTAATGTCAACATTCTGCATCCATTTTGTGTTTAGGAGTATATTGTTTATAAAACAACAATCCTGTTTTTTAAATAAGACAGATATAGATGTACAGTCTCTGTCTCTAAGATGTAAAATATGGCATCATTTTTATTTTGATGTGGGGAGAAAAGCTAATGAATTTGAGTGTTGTCTCCTGTCGAGGGTCATTGGTTAATTAAAAGTCTGATGTATATATACAGCTGATACTTCTCACCCTAATGAAGAACATTAATTCTAGAACATGTGTGGCTACAATCACATTGCTACAAATTACTACAGTCTTTCCTTTATCTGTTTCCAAGAAAGCCTCCCCTGGTTAGTTAAAAAGAAAAAAATGGGGGAAAAGAAAGAGGGGAAATATGAGCCCTTAGCTCTAAGCAGCATAAATTACATGTATCAATCAGAAGAAGCTTAAATTAAAATACACATTTGGCAAACAGATATGAATATGTTGATCTCATCTGTGAATCAAAATGATTTAATGCCAGGATTGACCCCCCCCCCACTGATCAACATGAAGGTCACTGGAAACTGATTGATTTTCATTGAGAAATGTTGTTCTGTCTGTTAAAAGTGCAATTTTATAATGTGTAGCTAGCCAGTCATTCTAATGTTTGGCACTCTGATTTATTTTTACAAAAGAAAATGGGATTCATTGCTTTATTTATGTAATGCAAAACAGATAGCTAAATTAAAAAGTGGGAGAAAAGAAGAAAATGGTTTATGGTTCCCAGCTGAGGGCTTTCCCATGTGTTCATAATATTTTCCAATCCAGAAAACTACTATTTGATAAATAGAATGTTACACCTTTCAGGTATGGAAGGACCATAAATCAGTTTCTCCTTATCGTCCCCTACATGCTTCCTGAAGATGAGAATAACTACATGAGCATCATACATTATTAGACAATCCCTTCTAGTCTTTGTATCATGATAACATATTCTGGAAGATTTCTAGCAGTTAAGTGGGTAAGACCAAGATTCTGTTAAAATTGACCTGAGGTTTTGAGTTGTATCATTTGTGTGTCCTATCACCAAAGTATTTAGTTTGGTTGGTTGGTTGGTACAGATACAGACTCGTCCAAGCATAGATCAGCCACATAAAAATGCATTCTTANGCAGTTTTTCCATTTCAGCTGTATTACAGTCAAGCTAGAAGAAAATCAGCTTGGAGGCCAGTAATGACTTATATTGGGAATACAGATATATAGCACCAATCTCTTATATAGGTCCATATTTCCCAATCTGGTACCTTTCAGGTGTATAGAAATGGAGTTCTAGAATTCCTAGCTACCAGGAAAGTTGATTAAGCAATCAGGGTGAAAATGCAACAGATCAAAGGCACTGAACTATGCCACTTGCTTAACTCTCCAGCTTGTGCATTCTTGCACAACTGCATGACATTCTGTTAATTTGTCAATGCAAAAGATTCTGGAGAATTTTTCTTCATCAAGTACATGTAAAAAAGTGCCACGGCATTTTTTTTCTTTTTTGAAGAAATTTTATTAGATTTTTTTTTGTTTTAGTTATAATTATAGAGAAGCAGATCTGTACCTGCTATTCTTAATTGAAAAACTTACTGAAGAAGTTATTTCTCTGCAAGAATACTTAATTTGCTCCACTTACAATTTTGAGTTCTGAGTTTTCTTCTCACCATTTCTGCAACCTTGTAAAAGGTCATTGATGCTCTAAACCATTAGACTAGAAGCAGTTCCAGTAAGCTAAACTTTTTGTATTTTGAAGAATCAGTATATTCTATGTAATAAAACACAATTGGAATTTCAATTAAATAAGCAGCATATTGACCAAGATACTTTTGCAGCAGTGGTGGGTTGCAAGCGATACGCCGCAGTACGGGCATACCGGTACCTGCTCGGAGTACTGGGTCCCGTTCTGTTGCTGAAAGCTTCTGCAGGTAGAAGAATTTGCTATTTCTTTTATGAAAGTCCAGTTGCCTCATGAAAAAGCACCTTTGGGACAACCATGACCTGGATGACTGAGAATCTCCATATACAATTTTTTATGAGTTTGAGGACTAAAATGTTTCCCCAGACTGCATCATTAAAGGTAGAAGTATATCCACCAAAGAAGAGAACATAGATTTACAAATAATATGCATATAGTAACCATTAAATTATTTAAGATTTAGCAGCTTATATAAAATATGCCATTAAATTAGTATTTATACAGAAATAACATATTTTTCTGGCATCTCATTTCCTTGACTAGATGTATATTGCAAATGATTAAATTCCAGATTCCTTTTTCTCATTTTATTATTAGGTAAAGGTAAAGGTTCCCCTCACACATATATGCTAGTCGTTCCCGACTCTAGTGGGTGGTGCTCATCTCTGTTTCAAAGCTGAAGTGCCAGCGCTGTCCAGAGACATCTTCGTGATCATGTGGCCCAACATAACTAAAGGCCAAAGACACACAGAACATTGTTACCTTCCCACCAAAGGTGGTCCCTATTTTTCTACTTCCATTTTTATGTGCTTTCAAACTGCTACATTGGCAGAAGGTGGGACAAGTAACAGGAGCTCATCCCATTATGCGGCACTAGGGATTTGAACCGCTGAATTGCTGATCTTCTGATCGACAAGCTCAGCATCTTAGCCACTGAGCCTTATTTTATTATTAGTATATAATATAAAATACAAACTCCTGAGCAGACTTTAACTGATGTC